GTGTGTTGGTTGTCGGATGAGGTATTATAAGTGTCGGAGTCGTGTCGTTCGATTGTACCGAAGGAAAATCCACGTAGATAGGATTTCCTTCTAAATACGCTGCTTTTAAGCGATCGATACTGATGCTATCGTTGGTTCCGTTCTTATCGACTATATAGTACTTAGATTCACGTTGAAGAACTTTGAAGGGTCCTTCGTATGCTGATTCGAATGGTCGTCGATGCGAGTCTCGACGAACGAAAACGTGTGTACTATATCGTAAGTCAGGTTGAACAAAAACATCAGTTGATTGAGGTCGAGTGGAAGCAGGTTTAACTGAACACATTGCGTTTGTAAGCCTGTTCGTGTAGGAGGTTAGATCCATGTTCATTGAAGAGGATGAAGGATCCACGAATTCTCCTGGAAGTCGAAGTGTCGTACCATAAACGAGTTGAGACGCAGTGTGTCCAATGTCAGCTTTCACTGCATTGCGGATACCTAGTAAGACGAGTGGAAGAGCGTCGGTCCACTGTGAAACGTTTGTAGCTGATAGCGAAGCTTTCAGTTGTCGGTGAAAACGTTCTACCAACCCGTTTGCTTGTGGATGGTAGGCGGTCGTTCGGAAGCGAATGATTCCTAAAAGCGTGGTCAGACGACGGAAAAGATCGGATTCAAACTGACGTCCGCGGTCTGTAGTAATGGTTGAAGGGCAGCCGAAGTTTGCTACCCATCGTTCGACGAAGGTGCGAGCCACTGTTTCAGCAGTGATGTCCTTGATAGGTACTGCTTCTGGCCATCGAGTGAAACGGTCTACGCAGGTTAAGAGATAAGAGTATCCATTTGAATCTGGTAAAGGTCCTACCAAATCCAGATGAACATGGTCGAAACGAGCATCGGGAGTTTTAAACGAGCCTAAGGGACATTTATTGTGTCTGATAACCTTAGATTTTTGGCAGCTTACACAGGAGCGTGCCCACTCCCTCACGTCTTTATTCATTCCAGGCCAGCAAAACCTTTCTGCTATAAGCTTGATGGTTGCACGAACACCTGGATGCGAAAGTTTGTGCAATGTGTTGAAGACATTGCGTCGATAATGTTTCGGCACGATTGGGCGATCCCTACCTGTAGATGTGTCACAAAGTAAGGTTTCCTTACCTGTTCCCATCTGTTTGATGCGTAGTTTAAGTGTTGTGGACGATAACTCGTGCTGAAGATCACTGTCTTCTTTTTGAAGCTCGGCGAGTTTAAGAAGGTCGATTCCTTGGAAACTGTTCAAGGAAGTTATGCGAGATAAAGCGTCTGCAACTACATTGTTTGCTCCAGAGATGTGTTGAATGTCTGAAGTAAACTGCGAAATGTAGTCCAGGTGTCGAGACTCACGGGGAGAGTACTTGTCAGAAGGAGAGCTTAACGAGAAAGTGAGCGGTTTATGGTCCGTGAAAAGAGTGAATTCACGACCTTCGCTGTAGTGTTGGAAATGCCGTACAGCACAATACATAGCTAGGAGTTCCCTACCGAATGTGCTGTACCTCGATTCGGTGTCTAGCAACCTTCTAGAGAAAAATGCCAAGGGTTGCCAGGAGTTGTTAACCCATTGTTGTAAGACTCCTCCGATTGCCGAGTCGGATGCGTCTACTGCGATGCTAATGGGTGCTCGGGTGTCCTGATGTGCGAGCATCGTTGCTTTAGCAATCAGTTCCTTAACTGTGGAGAATGCTTTTCGTGCGGTGTCGTCCAAATTAATGGATTTCGCATTTCCACGAAGTTGGTCGGTCAGAGGTTTCATAAGTAATGCGCATTTCGGTATGAAACGTCTATAGAAACTTACGAGGCCGTTAAACGTGCGTAATTGCTTGACGGTGGTCGGTTCTGGGTAATCCAGAATGGCCGCCACTTTGGTCCTAAGAGGTCGAATGCCTTGAGCATCGATAGTGTGTCCTAGGAAGTCTAACGAGTCGGTTCCGAATTGGCATTTCTGAACGTTTACAGTTATGCCATGTTTTTGTAGTCGTTCGAAAACAAGATCCAGATGCTTGAGATGTGTTTCTCTGTCCGGACTTGCGATTAGACAGTCGTCAACATACGCATGTACGAAGTTGAGACCTCGAAAAACGTCGCCTATGAATCTTTGGAATGTTCGAGCAGCATTTCGTAGACCGAAAGGCATTCGCAAAAATTCATAGAGTCCGAAGGGAGTTATGATAGCTGTTTTCGGAATGTCGTCAGTAGCCATAGGTATTTGGTTATACGCTTTAACCAAGTCGATTTTCGAAAAAACAGTTGTACCTTTCAAGGTAGCTGTCAAATCGTGAATGTGAGGCAACGGGTAACGATCGGGAATGGTTTTCGCGTTCAATTGCCGATAGTCACCCGTTGGACGCCAATCGTTGCTGTCGTTTTTAGGGACCATGTGCAACGGAGATGCATATGGGCTACTTGACGGTCGTATGATTCCTAAGTCCATCATGTGATCGAATTCGTTTTTCGCTAACCTTAGCTTTTCAGGAGCTAGTCGTCGTGCTTTAGAGAATACAGGTGGTCCTGTAGTCGTGATGTGATGTGTAACATTGCTGGTTACACACGGTAGTTTCGGTTGAGTTTGTTGTATCCCAGGGTACTTATCGAGAAGTGGTTGATAGAGTGGGTCTATCATATGTTTAACTGTGACTGGGGATACTCTACAACCAGTAAAAGAAGTTACGCAAACGGACAAATTAGTGTTTCCGTCTACTAGCCTCCGTTTGCGAGTGTCGATGATCAGATTGTGGTGTTGTAGAAGGTCCATACCAATGATTGGCATAGAAACATCTGCAACAACGAAAATCCAGTGGATGGGTTTGCGTAAACCCACGTTAAGGTAAACGTACCTTTTGCCATACGTAGCGATCGGTTTTCCGTTTGCCGCCTGTAAGTTAAAAGCCGATTCCTGAAGCCGGTCGTTAGGATTTGCTGGGAGAACGCTAACTTCTGCGCCGGTGTCGACGAGGTAGCGAACTCTCGTTGTCACATCTGTGACGAATAACAGACGGCTTTGTTCGCCGGCTACGGTTGCCGTTAACGCGTGCCGGCTTGAAAGTTTCCCGAATTGTTTTTCGAATCAGTCCGTTTCGTGTTGGGAAAATTGCAGGGTTTTCTGCAATTTCTGGAAAACTTTCCATACTGGTTATGATACCAGCACCAGTCGGGGTTATCTGTCTCTCGTGGTCTAGAGACAGATCGCTTACGAGAAATGCTTCTACGTGGTGTGCGCGATCTCTTACGGTCGGTACGAAGACTAAGATAACGCGTGAGTGTGTGACATAAGTCGTTTATATCATTCTGAGTCGTTTGAGGTTTTTCTTTGACTGAAAATACCTCGGTAGTAGATTTCGTAATTTCTAAAATGCGGTCGGCAGATGCAGCTAGCTCGTCTAAGGCATTGTTCTGGAACGAGACCAGAACTGCTTGCACCTGTTGGGGAAGTTTTGACAAGAAGAGTTGTTTGAATAGGCCTTCGTCGAAAGTTCTTGGGCCTATTACCTCTCTCATCCGTTGCAACATGTCCGTCGCAGAACCGTGTTGCAGGTCGATATTGTTGAAGAGTTGATCTAACCTTTGTCGATCGGTTAGGTCTCCTCGTTTAAGAATCGAGCGTTTTAAGATTTCGTAAGGATCGGAAACATCACTAGTAAACATACTAGGTGTTACGTACCTGTTGAATTCGCGCGGTAGTGCCTTGACTAGTGCGAGGAATTGTGCACGTGTGTCGATCACGCCGTGCTCGTAGAAGTCGGCTTCTGCGTAGCAAAACCAGGCTTCGATGTTGTCGGGCCAGAAAGGCATCAGTTGAAACGAAGGCGGGGACAAAGTCTTAAGCTTGAGTACTTTAGGTGTCTGTTCAGTCATGATGAAGTATGAAGTACGATAATGAACAAGGGGAAAATATATATATCCAGGAAAAAAACACGAAAAAAAATCACAATGTTTAAAATGTTTAAAAAAATAAGGCAATGATATATAAAAATCCCAAAAAGGAACAGACTCACAGTTGCAATTAGGTGTACCAGATCACGTCGGTTTCACCAATGATGATGTCACAGGTATTCAGTGTTTGACAACGCTTCTACCAGTAACACCTTCTAATATATTTCGTTCCCGCCCAGAGAAATCAAAAGACAGAGTCGAGGAGATCGGAAGAGTATATTTGGCGATGACCAATATATCGGAATTCTCTGATCTAATCTGGCTAGCGATTGCGGTTGATGTTGAGCACGGCGTTACCACACGTGATCTGGTGCGGATGCCTGACCGAGCGCCTTCAGCTAGGTGAGTCCACTAAAACATATGGTCAGCATCCAATGTCGAAAACTTAGTGCTATTTATTTTGGGGATTTATTTACCGCTACACGACTTTCCAGGAGTTTTTCATGAGGAAACTTGACCTATGCTTAAGGACTTAGGATAACATCTTATTATGATTTACCAATTTCTTTTTTCCCTCTATTATCGATAACATACCTAGGTTCCTGCCTGGAGGTACTGGGCATCCCCTTCTACTAGACACGTTAGCATGTTAGGCGAAAGCTTCTTCTATTCCGTCCACAACCATTTGAACCATTTGTTACTCCAGGATCATTCTCACCATTAAAAACTGGCTTGTTTTACCCTTCCGTTTAAGAAAAAGCCTAATAAAACTCATACATTTCCACTGTCAATGCTACTCTTCTATCACCCAGACACAGACCCCAAGAAATCATTAGTTTATGAACTTTTTCTAAACAGGGATTGAGGTTTGAAGTTTATGATCGAGCGCGTTCGTATAGTTGGTTCGTTACTTTCAAATTGATGGCGATTAGGAGGAGAGCAGATGTCTTGGATCCAGACTTTACTGTTATAAGACGACAAATATCCAAACTAATGCAACATAGCATTCACGATTGTAAAAGCTTTCTCTTGATGCTAAAATCATTGTTTCCGAGTTCAATAAAGTTAGAAGTAAACGTCTAATAATGTATCACACTTAGATAATTGAGTATGAACTTATGCAGGAGTATGGAGACGCTACTTTGGCAGCTGAAATTCTGTGTCGTCTGTAATCATGTTCTATATCATATTAATCATGTAGGTATGAAACTCAAAGGCATCTTGATATGACACAGATCGAACTTCTTAGCAAAATAGTTAAGGATCCTACTGATAAAGTGTGTTGTGGTAAGTTTGTTTGCATATTTAACTCCTTTACCAGATATATTCTCGCACACCAACCCATCGCTACAGAAGGATTTGACATTATCTTACTTCAACCAGATGTCCGATGAGCTGGGAAGAGCGGAAAGCATTATTTTTCTACTGAATCTTAAAGACGTAGTCTTTTACCCTCAGGTTCTACCCGTACTTTTGGCACTGGTTTATCAAAGCCTCATAGACGGTGAGCTCTCCATGCATAAGAGTAACCGAATCTCAACCAGCAGTGGTATAATGTGCCATTCATCACCCGCAGATAACTATGGATCGTTAATAAAGTAACTGGTTCAATGTATAGCTTAGGTTTTAGGAATGAGAATGTTGACGAGGGTGAAGAGGGAGAGGTAATGGGATGTGATGACGAGGACGAGTTTGCGGATGAGCTTGACAATCCAACTCCCGAGATCGGAGATAACTCTTGGACTGATATATCTAGTTCAATCCTCAATGTTTATCGTTTCAAGATAACTTATGAATTACTTCCACTAGCGTACAAGGTAATCTCTATTAAGGAAATATTTGCTTTCTAGGCTAGTTCTTCCTCGAAAATGGATAAAAACGTCGTGTACAAGATTTCGGTAACTTCAATCAATTTTCTGGTTACATACATAACACATGTCCCAGCGAACCCATCTATCGAAGGATTAGAAAAAAACGAGCTATTAGCCAAGAAAGATCCAAAAAATTACATGACAGACTGTTTAAAAATGATAGGGCATTTATTACAATGGCCTATTGCTACGTTCGACTTTACATCTAGTAAAACTGCATCCTATCTTGTTCAGCAGACTAGAAATTTGTTTCGGGAGGCCAAATCTTCATTTGATAGTGTGTCAACAAAAAAAGACTCGCGATCTGGTCGTAAACTGTCTTCGTTCTCTTTAAGTCATAAGTCTCATGCCATAGTTTTTCAGGCTCTGTGTATGTTTTGGTACACATTTGTTGATTTAAGTGCAGCTTATTTGCACAAAGTTCACAACAGGATATTTGAAGGTAGTGTAGAAAATAGCACTTCACCTAGAGTTTTATACTTGCCTATCAACCTAGATATTCTATTCAACTCAACTTCTCATAAAAATGTTTCTTTTGAAAATGAAGAGATGACTCTCTTAAAGCACACACATGAAGTCTGGAGTCTTCGTGAATATACTTCTGCCTCATACTCATTTGGCAGCAAGGAAATAGATTCGTTGGATAATGTCCATCCTCACTCAAATAATTCATCCGAATTCAACCAAGAAACACTGTTTGAGCAAATTATTCGTTTCCACTTTGCCATTAGTGGCCTGAATAATAATTCGCAGGAAATAATATGGGCTTGTAATTTTGTGAAAAAACTCAGTGACCAGTTGAAGTCAGTTTCTCTTACATCCCCTAACTATAACTTATATAATAATGCAGAACTTAAGCTTATATCCTGGGTTCTTCAGATGCTTTTGTTATCTCATGACCATGATAAATTTAAGGTCGTGGTGAAGTCAGAAGCATGTAATGGGTTGTGGGATCAATTCCTTCAAGATTTCAAATCGCTGTCATTACTTTTTAACCAGAGTAAAGATGAGAAGATTTGCATCCAAAACATTTGTCCTCTCGTACCATTCACTCGTCAGTGTATAGTTTTTATCGTGTCAAAAACATTAGCAAATTACCTGTGTTCTATTTCTCGACGAACAACAAACCCGACTCTTGCTGTCGATTCCGCTTGCTTGGCATGTATACTTTGTCAAGTCGATGGAAAGTTTGGTGATATTTCTCATCCGGCCGCTCAGTGGCCATCTCTGTCCCCATACCTCTCGGAAGTAATACAAACTCATTGGGTTGATATACGAGATCGTTTTTTAAAGTGGATCATATCTCCCCATACATTCATTTTCGACGTTGACCTGTTGAACACTATTTTCCGATTGGAATCCAACGCTGGGACTGGTATTAATTGGTAAGTTGGTTATTCGTTCTCCATATTTTAGGTATCACAATAACTTTGCAAGATATTTCGTTATTTTTTTTGGCACCATGACCATTAAATTTCCCGGTTATTACGAATTTATGTAATCAATTTGCTGTCATTCATATGATGTCTTTTTTCTTCATACGTATTGGGTAATGAATTTTTTCCCTTTTATTCAAACTCAATAAATCGCTCGGCTCTCCTCGAAGTCTGTCAGGTTTTTGAGTCCTGAAAAACCTTATTGTTCCATATGTTCTTCAACCATAGGAATGCTTTGCCAATCTTCACCTTTACGTCTGCATCAGATCCTCTACGTTCATCCATGATGCTGTCTGGGTACGTGAAATTTCCCACCTCTTCCAGAGTTTCTCCATCAAGTGTGGTTGATTGGGTGTTCTCCTTGTTGTATTTGAGGATTTTGTTTTTTTCCTTGTGTGTTGAAGCGTACTGATGCAGAGACAGCTGCTACACTAGCTGTCTTCATCTGCGTTAGTTGGTGTGTATGTGATAGAAGGTTCAGGTGATGATCTATGAAGTCGAAATCGTCTAGTTGCATTCAACCTGTCTATTGTATTCTGTGCTTCCTCTCAGGTGTGGAGGTCATCATAATCCAGTCAACCACCAGAAGAAAGAGAAAGGGTGGGAGTAAACAGTTATATCTGACACTGGTCCTCAATTGGAATGCGTTTGTCAGCTATCCACCTTGCACGACTTTGCAGTGTAATCCGTCATATGAATTCCGTATGATGGTGACGATCTCCTTAGGTACTCCATAATGTCGGAGAAGTTTCCATTATAATCTATTCACACTATCAACTGCCTTCTCATAGTCAAGGAAGTTGATGTATAGTGACGATTTCCGTTCAATTGTTTGTTCAACGATGAACTGTAGTGTTCCGACTTAAGTCAGTGCACGACCGAACCTCACGGAATACGGCCTGGCAATCTCGAATATGGGCGTCTACTGAATCTTCTACGCAGTTCAGCATCACTGTTGAAAACTTTTCCTGGTACTGACAATAGTGTGATGCCTCTGTAGTTCTCACATTTGCTCAGATCTTCCTTTGGAGTCTTGATGTGTTATTCTTCTCAGTCTTACGTCTTTTGCTCTTCCCAAGTGTTTCTGGATAGAACGTGGAGCATGTTTTCAGTTATTTCTCTCTGTGATTCCAGTGCTTTAGTTATTATGTTGTCAGGTCTTGCCTCCCCATTCTGATAGTCACGCTCATTTCTTCTATCGTTGGTAGGGTAGAAGTTATGAGAAGATCTTAAGTTGCTGCTTCGATGTCCGATGACCTTCTGAATTTTTTAGTTGTACAAATATCTATCTGGTCCTCTGTTGTGTGGTCCGGTGAGACCCATGTAGCTTTGTGTATGCATTTGTTTGGGAAAATTGTGCCACCTATAACCATTTTGTCGAATGCATTTAAATTTGCAAAACTTTCACCATTCTCGTTCCTTGCAGTCCATATCGTCCCATGATGTCTTCATACCCTGTGTTATCCATTCTGGATTTGGCGTGTAGATCTTCCATCAGAATGGTGAGTTTCTTTCCTAAACACTTCTCTATAATCGATTGTAGCTTCTTGTGGAACTGATCTTTATCATCATTTCTGTCATTGGTGGGCGCACAGCACTTGATAATATTCATTGTAATTCCCTCGTTTGTTTTGAATGATGCTTTGATAATTCTGGATCCATGAGATCTTCATTCTATAAGTATTTTCCATTCTTTTTTGAACAACATCAGAGCAACTTGTGTGTGCGAAGCATTTTCTTTATGACCAGTGTACAGCATCATCCCCTTCGAATATAACCTTTTCTGTCCATCTCGGGTCCACTGGTTTTGCTGATTTCAAGCACTGTCAAGTTGTATCTCCTCATTTCCGTTGCTATTTGACTGGTCCTCACAGTCTCCCACATTGTCCAGACGTCCCATGTACCTCCAAAAATTGTTGCTGTGGTTGTTAAAAGGGACATCGGCCTCGTGATTTCCTAAGAATCAAATTTCACCATGAGGCGTCATAATTTTTCTGAATGAAGATCCTTCAACTCGGTGGGCAAAGTTTAAACGTTTTAATTTGTTTATTCTGGTCAGCGTATTTTTAGCAAGGTTGTTTTCTATAGGATGGGAGAGCTGACCCCATGCTCAATTCTCCTCCTTTATGTGGTCGTGGTACCGAGAATAATTCCAGAAGGGCTACAGGCGGAGTTACCTTAATGCATACCAAGCATCAACACACCTAAAACCCGTCTTATCCTGAATAAGTTCAGAGCGGCAAACTATTTAATCGTACTTGGAAATTCCGCTTAGGAGTATAGGATTTTCCCTAAGCCGCTTAGATTGTTTAATCAAAATCTTGAAGTAATTACCTTCCACCGCTAAAAGGTTATATGTGCAAAACAGGCATTCTAGTTGCGTTAACGTTTTGAGATGTTACTCCAGTTAATGAATATGGCGTGACACAGAGTTGGACCGACAAACAATGTCATATATGTGTCCTGCTGCTTAATATGCGTATCACCGATTTTGCGGAAACTAATCGGTAATCAACTTATTACATCATTCATTGATAAAGATAGGCCACCGTACCCAAATCTCAAAAAATAACCCATCAGGTTACATTGCCTACCGTTTCTTCAGGTAAGGTCCGCTCAGATACGTGCTAGCACGGACGTAATCGCGGTTCAGATTTGTGCTTGAGAAAAACCAGCAGTATTTTATCGCTCTTCTACACTAACTGGTAGCAATATGGTTTACCTGTGTTCATCATTTAGTCAGTGTCGAGGGTCGGAAGATCGGATTTTTTCTATATTTCGGGTTGAGATTAGCTAGGAATAAACAATCATCTAATCATAGTCGTAGCAGACAATCATTATTACTTGGGACAGTCCCAAAAGTCCTTCCGAACTGACGTATTTTATCTTGAACGATAAAGTCCATTGAATCTACTATGCCTGTACTTCTAGCTTTTCTAAGAAAGCCAGAAGGCATTCTGAAAACCATCGTTCACTTTTGGAATGCCATAATTATAAAGAAGTAGAGGGATGTATCCTATCCTTTGGTGGTTTTACCGTCCTATTTAATCGTACAGCTCAAAAGAAAATATCTACTAATGTCTAGTTTATGGGTCCGTATTTTGTTTCTGAACTTAATGCTATACATACCGTAGTAAGGCCACGAAAGTTTACAGTCAAGTTCGTGAGTGCACTTGGAGTGGATCTCTCTGACTTTACATTTCGTCTAGGTAACGCCAAGTGAATGACCACACTTGTATCCTTCATGCAAGTTTCGTGGATAGCAACTGTTAGTAACACGCAACTCTAGAGTGTTGTTTGATGAATTTTTTTCAATCTCATATATGATTCAAATGATAATCGACCCAATATATAGTTTGAATCTTGAAAACCAGGTTTAATATTTTGTGAACTCGTATAGTTAACACCACTAGCGCGTTTATCGAGTTAAAGAAAAGTGATTGATAGTGGGAATAAAAGAAGTACTAGGAGGTGAGGTAGGGATATAATTATAGACAAAGTGTGTAGATAGTCGTCACTTTCCAGGTACATAAACCACGAAGGCTTGCTTCTTGAGGGTCCTGTAAAAGAGATCGGGCTTGGCGTTATCTTTTCCATCCCCAGACGTGATTGAATAGCGCAGATGATTGGTGTTTCTATATAATTGGTTTAGTATGTGTTCGTTCTTGACTGAGACCTCACCACTAGTACTGAAAATCCCAGGAGATGGAGTTATTCTTATTTTATGCCTTCCCTTTCATAACCCCTTCTGCTCTCAGACCTTGAGTTTACTGCGTGGTACTATAAAAGTTAAAAAACAATTGTCTTGATCATTACAAATATATTAGGTCTTCGTAGTAGGCGAAACTTAACCAATACAGTGTTTAACTTTAGCTACTACAGCTCGTTGAGCTTAGTGGTGGAAATATGTAAGTATGTGTCGCAGTTACTTCTCTTAAGCAAATTAGAATCTGTATTAACTGATATTTGTTTTTTGTAACTACTGCTCATCATTCAATGTCGAGTCATAAATGTTCTTCATCCAGAAGACAATGCATTGATGAACTGTTATGTTGCATTTTTGCATTAGATTTAATGAATTTTGCGTTACATAAATGCAGTTCACCTCGTTTTTATTCAAAAACAAACGATTACTTAATAGTCAAGATATTGATATTCAACTATTGGGTTGTTTCTTTGGGGGACCAAGTATCATTATTAACTCCCCCCTTTTAATACTAGTTATATTTGTGTAACAAGTATACGTTTATGTACTCGGTGCTAGGGGACAGTTTGCTAGGACTGATGATACTGCCTAACCACCCCGACTGAAATGAGTCGAACAGTGTTCGAGCCTTTTTCCAGGAGTTAAAAGTTGACTGTCTGCTCTTAAATACTGAGCTGTGTAAATATACTTCCTTAAGAAAACCTGTTACTAAAACTAATCTTTTAGTACAACTACGATTCAGTTCACTCGTACTGTGTATCAGGGTAACTTTTATAGAATCTAGTCTTCAACTTCATATTTGATCCGAAGAGCTGTATTAATAATATTTACTACTTTTCTGTTTAGGTCAAATCGTGATACCTTTTTATCGCGTTGCACAAACCTCGTTCAGTCCAAACCACCTGATGCAGTTGATTCAGTTCTTGAGTTCATTCATTTGGAATCTTCGAATATTTCGATTTGCTTAGCATCACTTCAATTATAAAAGAACATTTTGTAACCCTGTATCATAAAAAAATCATTTTAATATTATCTTGATTCGTAAATGTACTTTGGCTAAATGGGTTTGTTTACTTTCAGCTTGTAGGCACTAGTAATAATTTTACAGTAAATATATACTTTACTATTTGTCGCAACCTAATTCATGAAATACTAGGTGATTATAACGATTAGTTTATTTGCGGTTATACAAAATGACTATGGCTACTGGAAAAAGATCAGTCGTCAAATATTATGGAACTGTGCTAGCTTGATATAATTACAGTAAAAAGCCGTTACTCAGTTGCCGCTAAATCTTTTCATCAAGAAGTTTTGTTTCTCGAACACTCATTTGCCAAGTCTGGGAGTGATATACTGTTGTGTGACGTTTTTGTGGCTTCATTTCTTAACCACAATATTTCTCGATCTCTCACCTGTTTTTTATATTTATCTATCTATACGTATGTGCCAGTTTCATCTACCTCCATCATTTTTGTCCCTTCAAATCAGATTTCGCTGACAAAAGTTAGTTGTTCAAGAACGATTACAAAACGAAGCCTGATATCCTCGAATTGTGAGGTAGCTTTCTCTGAATAACATGCATTTACTGTTAGACTTTTTTTAGGACAATATCGACTTCTCAGTCTCTCGCTGTGTAAAGGTCATATTTACAGGCTTTCGGCCTTGAAGTTACCTGATAAGAAAGTAGTGATATTTCTTGATTGTCATTAGGTTACTGTGATTTAAACCCCTGTTTGAATTTCTTTTAGCTATTTTATGGGTGGTTTCAGACATATTCTACGACACGGTATTCATCTCATTAAGTAAATTACGTCGAACATTTTGTCGCATTATTGATCAAGTTAGTTTATGACTACCAGTGATAGATTGGTATTCAGACTGGTGATCAGTTCACACGGAAGCTATGAGTCTATGTTGCTTTCAGATACATATAGCTCCTCTTTTTTATAGCCACTTTAACGCACCATGCGAACCACTAGATAGTCGGTAGTAGTCACAGGCTATTCAAACTGCTCTCCTGGTATTGTATTTGGCTCAAAATAAATAATACAGAAGTAGCTAGTATCATCACAATTTGGCCTCTAAATAATGTTATGTGCGTTCGCGAAGTAAGATTAGTTCGGTATAGTGGTCTTGAGTGCTGTTACAGAATCTCGCGGTCTACGGAGTCAAATACTGCTTTTAAGTCAAGAGAGACCACCATTACCGGACGCCGATAAGCATGCCTGTGTCCTAGAACCTGAGGAGTGGTGTGTGATCGATGCATACACGATCGGGTCTGAAGCCAGCTTGGTTCTCTCGTGTTTGCAGTTCATGGGTCTTTGTTAGGCGCTCGATAAGTATTGAGGCTAGCATTCTAGATGCTATGTTAGTCAGACTAATCCCACTATGGTTTTCACAAGATGATTTTGACCCCTTTTATATATTGGGACGATCAGTGATTGTGGCCAGTCAGATGGAATTACGTCCAACTTCCAGATTTTAGCTAAAACATTAGTCAACCGGGTAAGTAATAGTGAGGTTAGACGTATGACATTAGGGAATGATGGCAAATCAGCTGATGAGGTTGTGAATCTTCATTGACTCAGATGGTTGGGTCACGTGTTACGTATACCTGGACACCGATTACCACGACGCGCAATACGGACTAGTGTAGGGGATGGTTGGAAGAAAATTAAGGGCGGCCAAACCAAAACGTGGTATCAGTGCTTAAAGTCACTAACTTCTAGTCTGAGCCATGTTGGTAGATTCAGACTTCTTGGTTGGGGTCCGTGTGACTATCGTAACCAATGGTTGGAGACTCTAGGTGACATGGCTCAGAATCGATCACAATGACGTAGGCGTATACACTCTCTGTCTTCCCCTAAACTGAGATTAAAATCGCTTCATATCTTCCTTTCTACGAACTAATTCCTTCCCGTACTATGTCTTATATGCGGTCTTTATTTTATATATTACCACCACTGAACTAACTACTATGAATCCGGTGTTCATCTTGTTGTGCTAATGAGGTAGGGCATCTTGGACCAATGCACATATGTGCCTGGTCCTACGTGTAGCTGACTGGCTTATTAGTTTGGTAATTAGTTGTGCTTGGTTGTAATGAAGAATCTTAGAGTTTTCCGTAATTGTCTGAATAATTGATGAAAAATCGTAGTGACAGCAAAGCTGGACTCCACATGCCTTTTCTCAAATTAAAGATGTAAAGAAACGGTCGTTATTATTCATATTATAGAGCCCATTTAACGATAATTCTTAAATTCTCAAACGTATTAGAGAGGCACCCCGACACTAATCAGGGGTTTGAGTAAATGAGTATATCCTTGTTAGGACTAGTCTAATACATTAATTATTGGTTTTGTATTCAACATTTAAACATGGTTTTTCAGCTAAATATTTGCTTATGATCTCCACATATCAATTCCGGGTCAAAACTTGCCCGAACGTTATCGTTTCTGAAATGTTATTGTCTAAAGAAATAATTCTTGGTTACATTAAAAAGCTTTAAAGGCTTTTCAGAGATCTCAGTCTATTGACCTGGTGACGATTCGGATATGAAAATGTCCTTTAAGCGGACTGCTAAGATTTTGTGACTAACGCATTAGAATTCTTATTGCCTTTTTCTGTAGTACAACCTAGCTTCTGTGACTTTTGGTTTTAGTTATGTACTGACTGCTATTTCCAAACTTTCCATGCTCAGAGGTAAAACACGCTTTTGTTTTATTGCAATTATTTAATATTTTGTAGAAAGCAAACTACGTCTCATACACCACTTCCTGTTTATACATATATTCTTTGATAATATTTTCTAATGTCTTATAATGTTTTGAATTCTTTGAATTGTATTATGAACTAGGAATCCCAGAATTAATGCAATTGAATTAAGAAGTGACACACAATCACAAACGAATGTATTGTATTTGGAATTCGAAATCAAGCATTCAACAAGTACAAAGGTATTATTAGTTCGTTCAAACACCACATCCGCCACAGCTTAAATAGAAGTATAAGTGTTTGTAATCGGTTGTACGTCTTCTTGTTAAGTTCATCCTGAGTCTGTCCGACATTGTATAAGATAAAAACGGAAGTGGTACTTAACCAACATAAAGTACTATATGTTGTACGTACAACGAAATATGTCATCACGGTAGTCTGCACATCGTGCTGCAGTCATTTGATTGCCGCAGTCACAGATAATGGAACTTCTTAATAGTCTCATCTGATGTAGTCGCTCAACAATCACCGCTTCTCTAAAATCTGCTGTAAAACGATCGAATGAGAGCATCTCGCATTGACCTTGATATTCCTCAAACGCTTCTGATTGGCTCGTCCATAAATTAGAGTCCTACCGAGAATTCTGATAAATCGGTTGATTAGGTACTGTTGTCTCACAAGAATTATGGATTTCATCTAACTCTGAACTGCCATATGACTCTGCACTGTCTTTTGAAATCGTTGATAAAGATAAATGATCATTATGAATACTCGACTCAGTAGAATCAGAATTACAAGACTTAATATTAGTTGCAGTAAGATTAACATTAGCATTACAAAATACACATGAATTGCGAGCATGAAACTTTCCACATGATAAACATTTACCAAACTTCATCTCACTTTTGTGATTTGCTTTGTAATTCCTCGTTGAAACACCTTTTATATTTACACGAGAATAGGAATCACTGTTAAATGAACGCAAGTTCGATTGACCCTGAGATTGTAGTTCATCATAACGACTAAGCAAAGTATTAGAAATCTTCGTCGACTGGATATCAAGTTCATTGACTGCTTCGTAGTTAATACACGCAGTTCTAGAATCTTGAAAGGAACAGTTTGGCATTTTTAACAACTCTCTTTCCAAACTCGGTATGTTAATTCCTGCAATTAATCGATCTCTCAGTTGCACATGAAGTTGATCACCGAAATTACACTTGGTAGCTTGTTTCTGTAATTCAAGGATGAATTCCCGAGCCTTTTGGTGATTTTGACGAACCATCTTATGAAACTTCGCCCTTTCACAGCATTCAAAACTGGTGCATTTTACATGACTTAACTCTTTAAGAGTTGCATAAGGGAGTGAGATAGGTTTTTCTGGATATGCCAAAGTTTTTAATAAGCTGTACGCTTCTCTCCCTATAAATGTCAGAAAATGTGCCACAATTTTATCACCTTTAACATCCCAGACAACCCAAAAAGGGGAAATAAAGGGGTAAATGCTTTGGTAACGAAAGGGGAAAACGCGCCAGAATGTCGCCTTTTTCGCTTGTCCGGGGGAAATAATGCGGATTTTCCCCTTTTTCGCCTTTTTGTCGACAAATTACGGACTTATCGCCTAAATATCCGCCGAATTGTCGCATTTTCGCCTACATATCCGCTGACTTGTCTACTTTTCGCCTAAATATCCGCCGAATTGTCGCATTTTCGCCTAAATTTCCGCTGACTTGTCTACTTTTCGCCCAAATATCCGCCGAATTGTCGCATTTTTGCCTAAATTTCCGCTGACTTGTCTACTTTTCGCCTAAATTTCCTCCTTATGCGCTTAGTTTTCTACTTTTCGCCTAAATACACACATTACCTACTATTTTCTATCCATCGACAGAACCCCAAACGTCTCCTATGTTTGCCTTTATTTTCAACAACCGACGAAAATATATCTGCAATGCAGTTGAAAAGCGGTAAATTTTTTAAAAATTTTATTTAAAAGGAAAAGCGTATTATTGTACAACACTAGAGCAGAAGCTTAAGCATCGATTGTTTTGCATATCCAATGCAATTGCTAATTCATTGTTATTTGAAATTATCTGAAAAAAAAGGAACCGGTTTTTTTTATTTATAAGGAACGTGCACTTAATCAAAAGTTCAATGACACTCAAACACACATTCTTAACACTTCAACAGTTTCCCACGTAAGTAAAAGAGTAAGCTGTTTGAAAGAATGTTTATTGAAATCGAGGTAAAACATCAAAACAATTGCACGGACTATTG